CCACGGGAGAGGCCACGGCTATCCAGTGGTCTGCAGGGAGCCACGACTGTCGTCACAAAGTGTCATTTCAGAAAGTAAGAACTTAATCATACTTTTCACCTTCCGTGGGAAATGGGACGGGCCGATAGGCGCGCGGCGCGTGCAATGCGGCAATAGGGAGCGGGCGTTACGCCCTCCAGCTGATGTCGCGATCAGCGCGCCCAAATGAGCCTTCAGGGCAGAGCGGCGATGGCTAGGCGAGGGGGGGGGGGAGAGAAAACTGTTCTGTTCTACAGCATTACACTGTTAAAAGTAGTTTCATGGTCGGTCGGTTACAGTATTGTTTTTCAGGGGATAAAACTTGATAGATATATTTTCAGTCGTAAAATTGATTTTGGGACATCATCTTTAAAAACCGAAAAATACTTATGAGCCGTAGGCCCTGGGCACAAGAATACAAGAGTTTTACATTTTTAACAGTGGTGGTTACAGCAGAGCCACTCCCCCTTTTCCCGAGCCACTCCCCCTTTTCCCAAAGTTGAATCAGGTGCAGGGAGGTGCGAACAAACCGAAAAGAAAACGGTGTCGCCTAATAATAAGCGTCTGGAAGTAACGAGGCATTGAGCTCCCCCGCAAGGTATGGTGGCTCTGATTACGTTCAGTTGAGCCAACCCGCGAGTACCCCCCCCCCCCCCCCTCTGGATGGCAGTCCCGACCCCGGCAGGCGCACCTTCCTGTGGGAGAAAGGGCGCGCGGCGCAAAATGACTCATTCAAATCGTCCCGGGCTCTTGCGCCGCCGCTTGTGCCCCTCAAATGCGACAGACGATGTCTTAAGATTATGGAACGGGCTCACAAAGAGTATAAAGAGGCAACCCGTCCTGAAATTCTATCAGGGAGCACACCCGAGTTTCTGACACCACCGCACACCACCCAACAATGTGTTTTTTATTACTTTAGTATTAGTTGCTGAAGGGCCGGTTTTGTCCGAAGAACATGCGTACAGCGTGTGAGTGTATGTGTGTGTGTGTGTGGGCCACACAGGACGCTGTCCCCATGGAATGCCTCGCTCTCGCCCAAATTGCCGCCGTTGGCTTGGTCATGAGCAGGCGGCGCGGCGTATGGGCGGGGCCACTCCCCCCGGTGCAGGTAGCAGTCGGTGACCAGACAAAAAATATTAAAACGTAATAATGAAATAATACGAAAAAAAAAACACACACAAAAAAACAAGGGGAACGAACGAAGCGGAAGTCCCATACCGTGACGGTACTGCAGGACAGGGCGTAACCCCTTTCGCAAACTCAGGTAAGGATAGGGTCACCGAAATCAGATTATGATTTATAATTTTCTTAAATCCACTAGCTTTGTCTGGACGGGACGGCGCGCTGACGGCAAGGGGTTCGATCAACTGTAAGTGCTTGCTGGTTGAAAACTCCGGTTCGAGCTAGGAGGGGTGAGAGGCGAACAAAACTCGGAAAGACAAGTGAGTACATACTGAAGAGAATATTTTGGCAGTGTGGTGCTTCTAGTAGTCTGGTAGCGGCCCCGAACCCAGACATGATTCTCATTTATTTAATACCCGTCTTAATGACCTTCGATATAATTTCCTCCCATTCCAAAAGGATGGAGAAGTGATGACTCCCGACATTATTTTTTTTCGTACAATATTCATCCCAACGTCAGCTTTATTCTCTACGTAGTCAGGGAGCGCAAGGGAACTACACTGTAAAAAACCGCTGGCGCCAAAAATGAATAAAATTCTGAAAACTTCCTCGAGCTATATAAGTTATCTCAACACATAACAAATAAGTTATCCATGTAATTATCATCTTTCCCACAAGAAAAATAATCTTGATTCCCGCGACAAAACTCTTAAAAGCATGCTTTCCTTCCTGACTTTTCCAAACTAAAAATATCACAAGAAAGAAAATTTATATGCAAGAAATTAAAAGTTTGTACCTATAGCCACTTTCGTGATGCTATTGACCGAAACCCATGGCATTTTTCAAAGCAGGCTACACAGACTGATATAGGTACCATGATGAGAATGCAGCAGCGAGCATTGGTTTCGATTCGAGTCTGGTTCGCGCTCACGCTTTACACCTCCAGGACGCCCAAGAAGCACCGAGACCCGTCGGAAGCCATTGTGGCTCCCTCGCGCCCCCAGCCCCAGGTAGGGAGCCGAGTGATCCGATCACAAGGGGGCCCGCGCCTGGCCCGCGCGGCCCGCCCGTGTCCATCCAGGTCAGCGTACTCCAGCTCCTGCTCCAGCTCCGGCGGGCGCACTTCGATACGGTCGGAATGCGTCAGGGTGACCGGAGGGAGCCTGGCGGGACGGACAGCCGCAGCATCCCAGGAGATGGGTCGAAGGACAGACCCACTGTACATACTCTGTACTCGGACATTTGGACGAATTTCATTTGTAAAATTAGTAAAGTATCGTGTTAAAACGAACTGGTCGAGACCTGCTATTCGCACCACTCTCTGCTTGTTCAGCTGGCGCTGGCGCGCAATGCTCACAAGTGCAATGGGTTGCCTACCCCACAGGCGGCCTGGGCCGAGGTAGGCCCGCCCAAGAGGGACGCCTACGAGGCTTTTATGATTCGTTGTTTTGGCGAGCACAGACAAAAAAAAGATAAATTTCGTCTGTTTCACAATAACGTTCTAACTATTTACTTTTCTTAAGGGTAACTTTCTGTTGATTTAATACTAAAGTACGTCAGTTTCAAGATCAAGTTTCCAACAGAGTTCACAGATCATAGCTTAAAATCTGCGATGGACCTGCGGAGGAATTCGCATTGATTTCGCACGGCAATAAGAGAACAAAACCGGCCAGGATACGCGGGACACCTGGGTGCCGCGCTAGCGCTGTCCTGCTCCAGCGAGACTGGGAGACAGTGAGCTCGGGGGAAAAGAGCTATAGGTAAGCGGGGAGCGGGGAGCGCGGAGCAGGGAGCGCGGAGCAGGGCGCGGGGAGCGGGGCGCGGGGAGCGGTGAGCGGGGAGCGGGGAGCGGGGTGTGTGTGGGCCTTTAACGCCCGAGGATCAGATGAGCACGCCTGCTTCAGCGATGGCCTGCCGACTCGAAGGTCAAGTACAAGATAACAAAGACAACAACGCCCCTTACGGCTTCTCAGACAAAAAAAAAATATTACTGTGACTGTCTTCAAAGTTAAGCAACAATCTCTGACTTAATAACCAAATCGGGTTAGAAACTTGATTAACTGGCACGTAAGAAATTGTGTTCAGATTGAATTTTGAAGAACGGAGGTCAATCGACTCAAAGTTAAAAGTAAATATGCCACTGATTGTATATTACACCGCTACCTGTACCACATGCTTTATACCCAATGCCTACTCAAAGCATATACTTGAGACATTCATAAGCAGAGCACTACACACACTCAAACAGCCACTGATATTTTGTCACCCTCTGACATTAATTTTGTTAGGTTTTTAAACAGTACGAATACTGACTGTAGTTTTATACGTATTCATTCCTCATTATAATAATGACAGAATTATTTTTTAAGTATATATTGAACAAAACTATATGGAATAGTTGACAAATTAATCACTAATTCCTGTTGAAGACATTTCTAACTGTTCTAACATTTCAACTGACAAAACTTCAATACAGGTCTTAGAGTGCACGTGCAAAAGCTTTAGCAGAATATTTGTTAGTTTTTATTCATTTCACTCCAAGCGAATTTCTACTTTCACATGTTTATTTTCCACCACCTTTGTTGAGTATTTACCAATTTAATTCAAGAAGTTAATTTTTATTTTCCATACACCACTATTCAGCTTGAAAAATAAATTGCCATCTTCCACTCTTAGATCTAATAAGATTCTAGGAAGATTCAAGGATAACGGTCAGAAATTTATGGATGTAAGTCTTGAGTGTCAGTGAAGGCAGAGCGACAGCTCGGTTCTCGATTTGAATTTTCGCGCGATAGACGGGGGGGGACGGCTGGTAAACACACACAAGTACATACGCTAAACAGCTGTTTCAGAATCTTTGTGACGTACTTCGATTAAACTATAGTTTGCATGGCGTGGATAGCGACAAATAAAGTGGGAAACTTTCGAAAAGCGATAATACTAACCTTGTTGAAAGCGACGCTAGGCTAAGCTTGCTGACTGCTTCAGCTTGAGCTTGTCTGAAGTCAGGAAAAATTAGCTTCCTTCAGTTTCTGGGCGGTATTCCAAGAGTCCAATTACCAAAGAGCGAAGCACAAATCACAGGCCTCTCAGGGCACGCGCGCCGCAGGCGAGAAGCCCTCGGGCACTTGAACTAACTTAGCGAAAATCCGCCACACCGGGAGTGATTTGGAGGTTAGGTCGCCGCTCCGCTCGTCGTCCGGCTGCAGCGCCAGCCGATGGCGAAGTGAGGCGGCAGGGGAGGGGAGGGGAGGCTCTTTGGGCATAACAAAGGGACATAAGGCGAGCAGTATAACGAATCGTAACAAGCGCCGACATTGTTACGAGAGGGG